CCTGTGTGATGCCCCTCTGCCACGGCACCCTGCCTCGCAGCCAGCTGACTATGGACTGAAAACTTTTCAAACTACAAGCTGAAATAAACCTTTCCTCCTTCAATTAGTGGATATTAGGCATTTTGTCTCAGCAATGAGAAAAGTAACTAATATCTACATGAAGATATAATTATATAAGCCTATGTACACATGTTGCTATAAGCTAGTTTAGAAAGTCAGTTATTCCAGTTGTGTGACTGTTAATCCTGATGCATTACCATCATTGGATCAAGAAATGTCCAGAAGATGAGTAGAGCATGCTTCTAGGTGTGTCTGGGTGGGTTGTGGAGGCCCAGCCATGGATATGGAATAGGGTCCCTCACAAGCTCCTCTCTGATGCTGTTTCCTGCTCAGCTGTCTGTCCACTGTGAACTAAGCAGCTTTGCCCCACCACACCCTTCTGTCAGAATGTTACAGTCATCGCATAGACTGAATCCACTCAAACCTTAAAGCTTTTCTTCTTTAAATTTTGTCCAGTATTATGTCACAGTGATGGGAAAGCTAATACAAAAAAATTGCTAGTGAGAATGGGGTCATTGCTTTGACTAGATCTGGCCATGTAGTTTAGAAATTTTGTAACAGTTTGTGCAACTGTTTTGGAAATGCAGGGTAGAGAAGATCTGGAATTCTATAGATAGATAGTGATGAGTGATTCTGATCAGAGCTCAGAAGACCAGAATACTGGTAGAAATGAGTGATAAAAACCTAGCTCAGGAGGTTTAAGTTGGCAGTTAGATTAGAAAGCATTAAAAAAAAACTTGTTTACATTGTGTCCATGTCCTGAGACAGTAGACTGAGGCTAAGGATGTTAGACCAATAAATCCAGCAGAGGAACTTGAAAGATAGCCCAGTATTCAGGCTGTGACATCAGTACTGCTGATGCTGATTTATGGTGAGAATTAAGGACAAAAACCAGAACAGAAATTTTTTGAAAACTTAAAATTTGGCCCAGAAAGAATCATGTACAAAATTGAATCCAAGACAAGTGTAGCTGCTGAAAAAATTAGCACCATTAAAAAGAAACCAACTACAGTGGACTCTTGACTCAAACATGATTCATTCCCAAGCGCTTCAGGCTGTCAACTAAAGGCTCAGGCTCCTCTGCACAGCCTTCAAAGTCTCTGTCCTGTGTACAGCAGATCTCAGTGTAATTAGAGAGATATCAGCCCCAGACTTAACCCCATATAGGAAAGGATGCTGTCATGTTCCTTCCAGAGCTCTTTAAGGGTTAAATCTGTGTCTGAGATCACCTGGAAGCACAAGCAGCCAGCATTTGGGTCATAACTTTGGTCATAAGTTAAAATTAAAATTCTGATCATAAAATGAGCCATTTTTGTGTCAACTGGTGGTAACTTGAGGGTCCACTTATACAAGGACAAGAAGAAAGATGTCTTGACATATCAGGATCAGAAAGAACTCACCCATGGCAGGTTCTCAGGTATAAAAGTGTCAGCCTTTCATTTGAAAAAAGAGTATAGAGCATATGAAACTCTTTTGAGAAGGATCTCCTAGGGATTGGTTCCTGGGATTCATTTCACCAGGCCCAGCCATCAAAAGGCACTGAAGCCGTGGTCCAAGGGGCCCTGGTTACTGCTTCTGCTGATAGAAGACGGATGCTGTCTGTGGTGCTGATTTGACTGTACTGTAGAAAACAAGAGTTGTGGGACCTGCGGGTTAGGCAAGGAGCCCCTGAGAGGAAATTGTGTGAAGCTGTGGGAATGAAACAAAAGACACAGTGGAGACCCCAGAAAGTTAGAGATGCCAGGAATGTGGAACCTCAGCTAAAAAGAGCTGCAGACTATGAGTGGAGCCAGCCTAGAGAGGACTACAGCTGACTGGGCACCAGGGAAAAGGCCACTAAAGCCCTCTGAAGCTCCTAATTTACTACTGTGAGCCCTGGATGCTGGCCATGGAGCTGCAGGATTTAATGTTCGTGCTGGTGGCTTTCTGTATCACCGTGGTCTAATTCTTTTCATGTGCCCCATTCTTGTCTTTGGAGTGGGGTAGTTACCCTGTGCTGTCATACCTTGGGATTTCATCACTTTTTGTGTGTTTGGTTTCACAGAGTTTTACAGTAAAGAGTTTCTTGAGTCTCAAAAGAGACTTGCACTTGGACTTTTAAAACTGCTGGAATTGTTGAGATTTGGGGGATAACGAGCTTCCAATTGTACATGGGGTAGTTGTGTTAAGCAAATTATCAACTTACTAATTCCTTTATTTTCAGATTAAATGTGATTTAAGAAGCTGTGTTTGGGTGTCAAGTTGACAGCAAAACACATCCAAACTGTGAGAGGTATAAAGTTTCTTAGCTCAAACCTTTCTTTTTTTAGTATCTCACAGATACCTTTGGGCTGTGAATGTTGCTTCCAAAAAGTATACTGCAACCTGATTTTCTTTTCTTTTTATGTATTCTTTTTCTTTATAGCACAATAATTTTACAAGAGTAGAGGTTGATTTGACTGCATGAGGCAAGTTTCCTTATATTAAGGGTGGTCTTTCAGTATGTAGAGCCAAATAATTTATTTCAACAAATAAACGGTTTTTAATTAAATTGTCTTTAATTAGTTTTCAAGTTTTTGAACTTTTCCCCTTTAATTTGTGCTTATGTTGAACTCGTTATATGCACGCTGCATTTCTTTTGTTTATGTCCTATATCTACCATAGAGAAACCTTTTGTTTATTCTTATTTCTAACGTCTTAGCCCTTTCATTTTATTTATTTTACTTGTTTGTATTGTTATGGTACTGACTCTGCTATGCATGATCTAGGTTTCTTCTCCTTACAATGTAGCTGCATTTTTACAACAATTCTGACTCCTTTTTCCTGATTTCAGTCACTTTCTATGTTACATTCTTCTGTGAGTTCGTGTCTCTTGGTAGTTTTCTGTCTTACCTGTGATTCTTTCATGCTAAATCAAACCACCATGCTCCCTTCAGGTGTGAGAACACATATGTTAACTTACTTGAAATTTACCTATCTTAAGACAACAAAAATATTATGAATTAGAAGTTTAATACATAAAAATTTTCAGCACTAGATTGTACTAGAGATTTTGGTCCAAGAAAGAGAAGTTAAACATAAGCAAAAGTGTGCAATGAATGATAATAATGCTGATAAATACTAGAACTTCAGGTTTTCATCATAGTCTGACTTTTATCCCATGATTGCCAGTCATATATAAGAGTGAACGTGTATTTTTTCTAATCTTCATCTTAGGTCTCCTAAACCAAACCAGTCATTTCACTGTCTCCCCCTCTACCATCTCTACTGCTAACAGGACCACCAATAACAGACCCACGTGGCATCTACACCCCCACCTATTATCTCTCACAAGGATCGACCCATCCCAGTCCTTATATTTTAGGTTTCCTGTGTATAGATGCAGCCCATTCCAGCAGTGCAGAACCAATCACTCAGGCATCCCCATTCTGTGCACCTCTATCACTGCACACAACCCTGGCTCTGAGCTGCTGTCTACAGAATTATGTGGCGCAGGATACACAGCAGAGCAGGTTTGGGCTGGCTCTCCACACACCTGGTGAAGGTGCCTGCATCTCATTCTCTTCCTTGGACAATAGCACTAACATCCTTGAGATGGTCTTTAAATTTCGGAGTGGAGCGTTTGGGAACTGGGCTCTCAGAGACAATGCTGCTGTCTCTTTACCTCCATCTACAGTCTTCATGTTCATTTAACACTGTCAGAACTCAACCGCCAAGTGTGAGCCAAGGTACTCCCTGGTTAGGGATACAGGACAAGCACATAGCAGTGTACCTGTGAGTCCAAGTTGGTGATAGAACCTTCTAGAAGAGTCTTGGGAAAATCAGCAGATAAGCAGAGAGGCCACTGCAAAGGAAAACAGATGAGTGGACCTTTGCTGTTGGCTGGACATGTGTCTTCTCAGTGATGTCTCAGCTGGCTGTCTAGCAGATATGCACAGTGATAAGACACCTCCAATCTTCAATATAGTGCTGCCATGCGGTCCCCAGAGCACACTCTTGGTGACTTCTCTTCTTCCCTTCTCTTTGACTTGAGCCTAAAAGTTTTCTTGGTGATGACATGCACAGGGCGCTCTGGGAAAGGTCTGTGTTAGTCAGTTTTCACTGCTATGACAAATCACCTGTGGGAAACCAGTGTAAAGGAGGAAGAGTAAATCGTGGTTCATGGTTTCAGAGGTTTAATTCATGGTCAGTGGGTTCCATTGCTGTGGGCCTGAGGGGGGGCAGAACATGCAGAGGGTTGGGATGCACCAAGTCTGCTCGCTTCAAGGCAGCAGGGAAGCCGAGAGGAGGGGAAAGCGCCTGAGAGGAAGGGGCTGCAGGTAACAGCCACCCTTCCAAGGCACAACTGCTTCCTCATCTGGGCCCCATTTTCCAGCTATGAACTCACCAAGGAATTGGTTAATCCATTGGCTTGGTTGGCACCCGTGTGAGCCAGTCATCTCTCTAGACTCCTCCTCCCAACACTGCTGCACTGGGGACTCAAGCTGTCATCACATTCAGGCAGCCTTGAAAATGTGCTCTGGGGTTTTACAAGATGGCGGCCTTGGCAAGAATCATGACTATGATTTGTTAAGAATGAAATATGTCAAGACAAAGCCTCCTGACCATTGTAAGTGTCCTGAACCAATGCTGTTCTGTGTGAATTTTCCTCCTCCATACTCCTCTTCATAAAGGAAGCTTTACAATCTTATTTTGAAGGGACGACATGATAATTAATAACATAATGTTTACGTGTGATATGACATAGGGAAGAATCTAAAAACTCACGTTTCTACAGATCATCAGCTGTGGGTGTAAAAACCTACCTTCAGAGATGTACATATGTAATTACCCCTTTGATAGCCTAGAACTGCTGGTGGAAAAATCACAAATGTTTGCCACAGATGGTTTTCTGCAATGAAATCATTACTCATGCATGACTCATGTGTTAACATTGTAATCTGTCATTTTTTTACCCACAGGCAAAAACTGGGACTTAACAGCTGCTCTAAGCGACTATGAACAGCTCCGACAGGTGCATACAGCCAACCTGCCGCATGTGTTCAATGAAGGGAGGTGCCCCAAGCAGGCTGAGCGGGAGCCACACCAGCCGGGGCACAAGGTGGAGCGGCCCTGCCTGCAAAGGCAGGACGACATTGCCCAAGGTACCACTGAGTCCTGAGCCTCGCGCAGCTCCTGGGGCAGGACAGTGGGCAACTGGGAGCTCCAAGGGGAGAGCAAGCTCTCACCCTTACCTTGCAGGGGCAGAGCAGTGGGACCCTCCATGCGCCGCCCCTCACAGTGTACCAAAATGTCCCTCACAGAGTCCATTCATAGGTGCTTCCCCTGCCTCCCAAAATCAGGTAAATAAGTCCAGTCAGGAGTCCTTTGAGGGGTGGAAGGTAAGTGTGCCTCATAGAGACCTGTTTTTGTCCAGACCAAGCACCTCTGGCTCCTTCCCTTATTTCCCAGGAAGCTTAGTTTCCAATTGATTGGCATCATGGCCATGTTCCATGCTCCACCGCTCTGCTCTGTTTCTTCACTACAAGAGTAAGAAACAGTGCAGTGATACAAAGGAACCTTCACAGACTTCTTCTCCGCCTCCCACATTTCCCGGGAGTGATGCCCTGGTCATCTGAGTCTGTGTCGCTCTGCATCTCTAGCAGGCTCATGCAAAACGCAAAGGCTCAGAGTGAAACGCACATCACACTTTACCTGGGCTTCTGTCACTGGGCAAAGGATCAACAACGGATGTGCTTAAAAGCTACCTTTTCATTTCATGGTAGACATTAAGTCCGAAGCTTCCTGCAGAAGCCAGCATTCTGGTTTTTCTTGGCTTTTGTTTTCCGTTTTTGCCGCTGTGCACAATGCTGAAATAAGTCTCCTTATACGTGTAAATCTTCCATATTTGTTATTTTCCTTTTAATAGTTTAGTGCCCCAAAATTGACTTGGTGTTGCCAACATATGTGTGCCTTTAGTTTAATAACTTTATTTAATAACTCTAGATTTCTTCCAAAACACATTTCTGCTCACTGTGTGTTTCCCTGTGTTCTGGGCAGCACTGATTCTCTTTTTCTTTCTCATTTTCTTTTTCTTTTCTTTTCTTGGTGGTACCAGGGATTGAACCCAGGTCCTTTGTGCTGAGCTCTATTCCTGATCCTTTTTTTTTTTTTTTTTCACTTTTTTTTGAGGCGAGGTCTCACTAAATCACTGAGTTCACCAGGACTCAAACTTCTGATCATCCTGCCTCAGCCTCCCAGAGGCCTGGGATTACAGGCCTGGGCTACCTGTGCCTGGCTAGATGTCTCTTTCTAGCAGGAAATTTTAATTGTAATTATTATCACATATTAATTATACAAGTTAGTGGGTTTCGCTCTAGTATTTCCGTGCATGAATATATCCTGCTTTTACCTGTCTGCCCTCCCTCTGCTCTCCTCCCCTGTCTCCTCCCGTCTTCCTCTCCTGCAGTCCCCTCCCTTCCTGGTTCTTGCTCTTCTACTGTCAGGTCACCTCTTTTTTTTCAGTTTCCACATATCGTGACGCTCAGCGCTCTGAGCCCGGCTTATCCCACTCAGCATGATGACCTCCACACATGACGTCGTCTCTTCCTTCTTTATTGACGAGACATTTTCCACTGTGTCTATGCGACACGGTTTCTGCATCCGTTCGTTTGGTGGCAGGTTGCTAGGAAGGCTCCTTAACTTGCCTAAATGTGGAAACACAGTCTCACTGAGCGTTACTGCTGTTGCTTCACCCTGTTTTTCTGCTCCGAAGGATGGAAAGTGCTGCCCTATTTTAACCTTCATCGTGTTACAGAAAACCTCATGGAACACAGAGCTACTGAAACATCTTTCCCACATGCATTCTTAAATTTCATTCTTTAGCTCTTTTCAATTTGAAATACGTGTATGTATGTATGTATATAGGGAAAGGACCTAGTTCTGCTTCCTTTTGGGTTAAAACTGAGTTAGTTAAGTGGCGTTGTTAAACAAAGTGTCCTTTTCCCATTAACTAAAATAGTAACCGTGCCATAAAGTCCAAAAACTCCCGGATTTGCATCCCAGATTTGCAAAGCTCTGTCACCCTTGTGCTGCCCAGAATGCCACCCTGACGCTGGTGCTTTCATATCATACTGCTCTATGCTAAGGTAAGCTCCTTTAGTATGTGTATCTCATAAAAACTTTCACCATGCAAACCTTAAAATTTTGCCATATAAACCTTAACATGGCAATTCTGGTTGGAATTGAATTACACTTTTTGTTTTACTGAGAAGCCCTGGCGTTTGTGATGGGTTTCTCTCATCCAGGAGCATTGTGAGTGCCTCTCTATGGATTTGGATTCAATTAAGACTTTAGGCATAGAGATAAGCAATTCATTTCATGCTTAGCTTGTATCCAGTAATCTACATAAATTATCTTCTTAATACTAACACTTTTAAGTGAATGATGTGGGTTTTTCAAATATGCAGATCATATCTGAAGACACTTAGTATTCTCTTTGTATTTGTGCAGTTCAGCTTCTAGCCCTGACCTGTTACGTAGCCTCTCCCTAACCATGAGAGTGTGTTGCCTTCGTTTCTATCAGCTTGGCCTTCATATTCAGGATGGATCGCTTGTCATTAGAGATGTAACACTTGAGCCTGTGTCTTAGATTGCTGCTCATCTCCTTACTCCGTCCGTATAAACCCTAAGGGATGAGCATCATCTCCCCTTTGATTTCCCCCTTGCTCCTGTGTTTGTTGTGATGCTACCCCAGTGGGCTCCTGTGTGCTCACCTTAGGTTATGTTGCTGCAGAGGCTTTAGTTACCAATATAGAAAGATGCTCTTTGTTCCGTGTAACATCTTTCAGCTTCAAGATGCTATTTTTTGGCACTGCCTCCCTGGTTTTCTGTGGTTCGTATTTGCCTAGAATGTCATGTTTCATCTATTTTCAACTCTTCCTTACCTTCATACTAAATGCAATTCTCAGAGATAATTTATCATCAGATTTTATTTTATTATTTCATCCAAGGAGCTCTTGTCTTTGAAATAGGAAATTTAATTCATTTAGTTTTGTTTCATATCTATAATTTTTATGTTGTGTATTTTATATACCAAATGCTTTGTGAGTTTTTTTTAATTTTGAAAGTTAAGCATTCTACTTTTGCTTATGTGACAATTACCTCTGTTCTGTTAAACCTGTATTTAGGTTTGGTTTCTATGATCTTTAAAAACCTATGCCACTGCAAAATGCCATCTCTACAGTGACAGGCTGTATTTACAGTGTAGTCTGTCAGATTCTGATAGATTTGAAGAAAATTCCTGCTGTCTAGTACTGCGGTGGCATTATAATGTCTGAGCACAGCACGTTTCCCCCAGGCTTGTGACAATGCTTATGTAAACAAGCCTACAGCACCGCGAGTCCTCTGAAGGTATGACACGTGACTTACCACCCAGTAGTGACACTTTAATACATCACTGATATCAGTGCAAGTGTTACTGCGTATGCACTACCTGATAATAATAAGAGATGACTACTGGTGCTTTATGCATTTACCATACTGTGTTTTTATTGTGGCTTTAAAGTATACTCTTTCTGCTTATTAAAAGTGCACTGTAAAACAGTGTCCTGTGTTCTGCTGGCCGCAGCATCATACACCTACATGTACTGCATCCCTTGATGGCGTAGAGCTCATCATATCCAGAGACTGACCCATGCTCTGCACCATTCCTCTGCCGTCTTCTCCCAGCTCCTAGAGATGCCATGGCTATGACCTCCTAACCCACTCATTCATCCTGCGTGTGTGTCTGTCGTGAGTCTGCGTTTATGTTTCATTTTATGTTGAGTTTTCATTCTCAACTAGTTCTTTGTCATTATTACTATTTCATAGTTTCTTTGGCTCTTTGAACACGTTTGCTAGGCTTATTTTGAAATCTGGCCCAGTTATTCTGCTTTCTGGCAAAAGGACTTCACTGACTTTCTTTGGCCACCCCTGCCTGTCCCCACTGCTCAGTGTCCCTGTGACCTGCTGGTGCCTATGTAACCAGCCACCAGAGCTTGCATGCAAGGTGCAGTGATCAAATAGAGATAATTAGCATGGTCACCACCTCGAATATTTATCATTTTTGTGGTAGAAGCATTCCAATTCCTCTCTTCTCTCTTCTGCTTACTTTCAAATACATAAATATTATTATTAACTCTAGTCGCCCTTCTGTGCCATGGAACACTAGAATTTATGCCCCCTGCATAATAGTAATTTTGTACCCAATCTCCAGCCTCCACTCCCCTTCCCCTCCCTTCTGCACCCTTTGGTAACCACTGTTCTGCTCTCTGCTTCTATGAGATTCATCAATTTTGCTTCTACGTATCAGTGATCTGATGCAGTATTTTTATTTTTTGTGCCTGGCTTATTCACTTCTCCGTGTTCACCTACGTTACTGCAAGCCACAGGACTTCCTCCTTTTGTGGCTGAAGAGCATTCTGCTGCAGATACGTAACAGATGTTCCCTTCATCTAGATTCTCTTCATCCATTCATCCATTGATGGACACGTAGGTTATCTATTCGTGAATAGTGCCATGGGGAACATGGGAGTATGGATGTTGTGGGACCCTGATTTCCTTTTCTTTGGAATTGCTGGATCTCAAATGTTCTAATTCCTACTTAAAACTTTCCCCACTTGCTCCTTTTCCCAGAGTTGTCTTTTCTCTTCAGGGAAACTTCCATCACCACGAACTTAAAAGTTGCTTGTCTCTGGGGGCTGCTCCTCCCATGGTAACTTCCAAGCTCCTGGGTGTGTTGTTATCAGTACCCCAGCCCCGCTGTGTCCCGGCAATGTGGGACATTCCTCTAGCCAGCTTTGGACTCATGCAGTTCTAGCCCACACTGAGGCTATAACAGCGGGAGGGCAGTGACCTGCTGGGGGACAGGAAAGCCATACAGCACCAGAAATCCCTCCCAGCCCTGCCCAGGAAGCGTGCCCTTCTGCCCCTCTGCCCCCGTGTGTCTCCAGCTGGGTGCAGGGAGAGGGTGCTCTGGCCTGCTCACTCTCTCCTCCTCCTGGGTGTATCATTCTGCTGCCAGCGGATAAGGTGCAGTGGAGACCACCTCTTCCTGGCACTTGGTACTGTCCTTCCCCAGGGCCTTGCCGGTGTCTGGTCTTCAGCATCACAAAGTTAAGGCTCCGAGGCTCTGCCCCTTTCAGACAGCGGTGGTCCAGACCTACATTGACAGGGTCATTCCTGCTCTCTGTGGCCACAGCACGCAAAGCCACCCGTGAGCTCATCCTGCTGAGAGCTCTAGGAGAAGACTCACTGGTCTGCAGGGATGTGGGCACAGCCTGGTGTTGCTGGTGCCTGCTCTCCTGGGCTTGAATCAGACACCATTTCAGGAAAAAAAAAAAAAAAAAAGGAGCAGCATACTTGTTTAAGCATAATATAGTCTGATCACGATATAATCTTAAGAATCAAACCTTGTAGGAAGACGTACCTATCTTTAATAAACTAGAAATCGTAGTTTCTGAATTAGATTATGTCTTAGCAGAATTCTTTTGAAAGTCACTACACGCTCAAATGGAAAATGAAGCATCCACATTCAATCCAGGGCCAGCCAATGGTAGCAAACAAGTCATTTCTGGCCTCTGCCTGCTTTTTAAATAAAGTTTTATTCGCATGCTTCATGCCCATTTGTGGACGTATTGTGTGTGGCTGCGTCAGTGCTAGGGTTGAGTCGGAGACTGAGATTGTGTGACCTGTGCAAAACCTAGACTCTCTGTATCCATCTTTCTAATAAAGATTTGTCCACCTTTTAAAATGCACTTAGGATTTATTTTAATCAGCTACGATGAGACAGAAATAACTAGTTGTAAAGGAAGAAGTCTCCATCTGTAGTTCCCGTGGAGAAAGAGCTATAGCTCACCACATGGGCCCACAAAGGAAGGCACAGAGCAGACCAGGAGGCAGAGGGAGCGGGGCAAGCCATGGGTAATAAGGGGCTGTACTGTGGTTTCTATGGCAGAGTGAGCTGACCTAGGGCCAGCTGCTGGTAATCATTTCAGTGGTCCTAGGGGGTGTAGGCCCCAATGCTAGTTGTCCAGGACCTGGCCCTCAGATGATAAGGGCAAGGAACACTCTGAGCCCTCAGAGCCAGTCGGGGAGAAGGTTCCTTGTGGACTGCCAGTGAGCTGGTCTGCACTGAAAAGCGTGCTTCTGCACCAGCCCTTTGCTGTCCTTGTGACGTGGCTGGCTCTGGAGTGGCCGCTTGTCCCCAGGCAGCCCCACCCCAAATGCCTGAGCATCAAAAAGGCAGAGAACAGGAGCATAGTCCACACACCTGCCCTCATCTAAATCATCAGTGGGAGCCGAGTTCTGTTCATTCTCCCACACCTCTCCTTCCTCTGTTTCTCTGGGACGTAACTTTGAATATGGCAAACCCTGTAAAATGTTTCGTTTACCCCTCCAGTAGAACAATCACTAGTTCATATTTAAAGACCCAAGGCTGGAGTCTGCCCTTGCGGTAGAATGTTTTCCTACCTTATACAAAGCCTGGGGTTTGATCCCCAGCACTGCAAAAATCCATGTTTGTATGTGTGCAAGAGGAAGAGACAGAGATAGAATAGTGAGAGACAGAAAGATTCTCTATAAACACCCTGGCGATGGTGCTGGGAGGTATTAGGAGTATTGTTTCTCATTGGATGATCCTCAACACAATATATTTTTAGTTCAAAAACATTTTTCCCTTCAGATTTAGTTCAAATATTTCCTGCTTGGATATGCTTAATAGCATTACCTTTCACTAACAATCACAACGCCTCTAAGCATAGGAGTGAGGCTGAGCCACCTAGAAGATCCCCATTGTGTAGAGGGCAGCCTTTGGGGTATCTGGGCAGCACACTATGGGGACCTGTGTCCCCTGGGTTCTCTTAATACAGAAGCCCCTCACCAGTCCCTCCTTCCCCAGACTCTACGTGAATACTTTGTGGGCATATGTATGCCCTCAGCACAGATTATAGGGAAGGACAATTTGTGGTCTGCTTGGTTCCACTTGGGAAGATGGGGGCCAAGCCCAGGAGCTGATGGGATCATCCCCAGGAGCCTGTGAGGAGCCCTGTGTGACCCTGTGCTCTTCTCTCTAACGATCTGTGTGGTCTGACTTCTCATGACCCTCCTCAGAATAGGAAACTACCTAACCCTGAGGTGTCAGAATCAAAACCATCCATTCTGAAATCCATTCTGTCTCCATGACTTTATTTATTTGAATGGGAAAATACATACTTCTGAGAATTACCTTTGGATTGTAAGCTGCCATGCCACGTGTACATTTACCTGCGTGTACTTTTGTGTGCACATGTGTATGGGTGTGTATGTGCGTGTGCAGTGTGTACACTGTGGCCTGGATGTGTGACGTGTGCGTATGCCTGTGTGTGTGTCGGTATATGTACATGTGTATGCTCGTGTGTGCGCACATGCTCGTGTGTGCATGTAGGCGCACCTGTGTGTTGGTGTGCGCCCACAGAAGGACACTGATGCTGACTCGGTCCCGTGTCTGTGCTTCCTTCTTCCCTGCAGAAAAGCGCCTTTCCCGGGGGATTTCGCACGCCAGCTCAGCCATCGTCTCCCTGGCCCGGTCCCACGTGGCAAATGAGTGCAACAGCGAGCAGTTCCCGCTAGAGATGCCCATCTACACGTTCCAGCTGCCGGACCTGAGCGTGTACAGCGAGGACTTCCGGAGCTTCATCGAGCGGGACTTGATTGAGCAGGCAACCATGGTGGCTCTGGAACAGGCAGGTACGTGGCCTCCCCCTCGGGTCACTGGCCTTGGGCTTGGCGAATGAGCCAGCTGGCCCGGCTTCCTCACGGAGCAGGAGAGAGAACGGTGTTCTCGGGCTCTGGGAGGCTTCCTGTTGGGATTCTGTGTCTTTCCTGAGTGTGTTCTGCAGACTCCGTGTTCCCTGGACAGCCTGTGGGAGGAGGAGCCGAGGAGCGGGGTGCCCTGAATGGCTCGAGCTGCCCCCACCCTGTCCCTAAATCCCAGGACCCTTCTTACAGGAGAACTGTGGGCTTCTTTGCCTTCTTTCCCCTCTTCTCCCCATCCAACTCCTGCATGGGTGTGGAACAAAAGCTGGGAAAGGTCACAGGCTGGAGAGAAGAGTAGGACACCGCTTAGCACTGAGTGACACGAGTCTCACGTGGCCATCAGTCCCCTCCCCTCCCAGCCTTTCTGGCATCCAGGAAACTCAGAAGCCAGCCCTACTGGCCAGGGTGGCACACGCCTGTAATCCCAACACTCAGGAGGCTGAGGCAGGAGAATTGCCATGAGTTTGAGGCCAGCCTGGGCTACACAGTGAGGTCAAGGCCAGCCTGTACTGCATAGTGAGACCTGTCTCAAAAAAAGAGGAGGAGGAGCAGGAAGAGGCTAGCCTTAGTCTCCTTCTCCTTCTCCTTCTCCTTCTCCTTCTCCTTTTCTCCTTCTCCTTCTCTTTAATGGTTTAGCTGTAAAGCACCCAGGAAGCACAGCAAGTGTCTCTTCTCTGCAACTCCAGTGGGAAAAAAATCAGTGCACAGCAAATGTCTGCAAGAGATTTAGGTTATTCCAGACACAAGGCAATATATATTTCACTCCTAATCACTTGTGTTATAAATACTCTAAAATCAAACATTCAGGGGCTTCTCTGATACACATGGAAGATTCTTTGTCCTTCCCAAGTGACACACTGCCCAGCAGGGAGCCTACTTGCTAACATGCCCTGACGGTGGGCCTGGAGTGTGTCTGTGTCACGATTCAGCAGCTTCTGCTGGGGCTGGGAAGCAGGACCTGGGACTCTGGACTCAGACTTTAGGCAGCTTTTCCTGTCTGCGGGAGCACGGAGCCTCCATTGCCAGAGGCCTGGCCCTTAGAGCTTGGAGGCACTCCAGGTGTGACTCCCCCTCAGAGCAGGAAGGGGAGCTGTGGGTAAGCAGTAGAGAGAGGGTCCTGCTGAGAGCTGCAGCCAGCAACATGGCACTGGGCTGTTGGCAGTGAATCAGTGTACACAGCCAAATACCTCTGAGTATTTCGGAGGAAGACAGAAGAGAAGGATATATAAATTGGACATCAGTGAATGGGCCAGTCAGGACCATGGTAGGAGAGAAAAGGTGACCTACAAACCTGATGAGATAAGAGGTTGCTGTAAAGGGACTGTTTGCCAAAGAACACGAGTGAAGGATGCCAGGAAGTAGCCCTGGCATCGCTGTCTTGTGCCTGGCAGAGAGGCAGCCGGTGAGAGTAGCTGTGTGGAGACAGGCGTGGCTTTGGAAGAAGGAAGATGCAGAGAAATGAGGGCTCCCACCACGTTCTTTCCCCACCGTGCGGCTGTTTTGACAATCGTGGAGCCTCTGGATATCCTGGTTTCATGCTATCACTGGTCAGATAATCCCAGGCCTTTCCCACCCTGCTGCTCCCAGAGCCAAGTGGATGACACCTTTGACAAAGGAGGGGGTGGTGGCTTACGGGGCTGATTTGTGGCAGCCCCAAAGTCAAATCTCAGTCACAGGATACAGGGAGCCTCGCCGGGGGCATGTGTGATTTCAGAACAAGGTCCACATCCCCAGGCGCTATAGCGGCTCCTCCTTGTGACACTGGACAAATTGCTGCCTGCACTGCTGTGCGGCCATTGAAAACCAGGTGCCCCAGCCTGGCACCCGAGCCCTACTGTCTCATGTCAGTGCCATTCGCTGATCCACAAACACAGAAACACCCCGCCCCGCCCACCGGGATGGGTGGTCACAGAAACCACCTGCCACAGAGGCCAGGGTGCACGTGGCTGAGTCAGATGAGGTGCTAGGAACAAGAGGCTCCTTTTCCATCGAGAAGCTGCTACAGGTCAGCGAGCACACAGGTCTCGAGAGCTGCTCTCCATGGAAGTTGGCAGCAGCTCAGGCCTGCACAAGGCTCGGCAGCGACAGTGATAGACAGCACAGGCCACAGATGCAGGTGCCCGGGGGCTTCCCCTCAGCTCCGCCACGCCCGCTTTCCCCTTTCAGCCCTGCTGTGTTTACCCAAAGCCTTCTCTTCCTTTGAATGTTTCTTACTCATTTTTCCCCTGAACACAGGAGTTTCCCCAGCCCCCAGGATTACTCTCTGAGGTTTCAGGCAGCTGTGGTCTAAACATATTAAAAAGAAAATGCCAGAAATGAACTGTTCATAACTTTAATCACATTTATTACAGTATGTAAAACATTATCATAGATATGTACGGCTGGGCAAAGTGTGTGTGTAGGGGTCAGCGCTGTCCGTGGTTTCAGGCATCTACTGGGGAATGCATACCCCGAAGGTAAAGGGAGCAGCAGCCCTATCACATAGTAACTTCTATCACTTACATTTTCCTTCTTGACTAGCATTTAAAAGGGTTCAAATACCATCTGGCACCTCTTAAAAACCCAAACTTACTGAGTTAAAGTGTTAAATTTGCAAATGGCACTTTGCTTATTTCATGCACTGAGCAAAGGGAGAGAAACAGCCCCAGAGATCAGTGAAGACACAAGGCCCCGCCCACCAGCCATGAAGCCCCAGTCTGCACTACAGGAGGCCTTGGAGAGGCCACCAGCTTGCTCGGCCAGCATGAGGTCAAAGAAGGTCAGGGTTCCGCCTGGGACAGGCACCCCAGGACTCAGCGTGTCTCCTAAGACCCAGACCCCGAAAACAGGAAGGTGTGCAGAGTGGCACACAGCCCTTCCCTGGGCACAGCAAGGCCTCTGTGGTCTGGGAGGATGCAAGGCTGACCCAGCCCTCCGTCCATCTGCCTTCCAACCTTCTCTTTCTCTCTGCTCTTAAGCGAGGGCTTAGGTTAGGCCATCCCTCAGATCTTCCTGCGTGCAGTTTCCAGCAGGAAACCCTCGTCCCCTACTGCATGTGGCTGGGGACCCTGACCCCAGGAAGTGACTGGGCTCCTGGGAATGCAGCCATCACCATCCGCGGGGAAAATAGTGCCCTGCCATAACACGGGGACAAGAGGAAGCCACTGACACTGCTGGGTGGGCTGTGGGCATCCTTTGTGCCAATATTTAAGTACTTAGGAGGGTTACGAATAATCTATTGATATGCAGATTCATTTATTGTTTGTTGAATTTAGGTATGGAAAAATATTGAGGGTCAGCTAATCCAGTTGTGGTTGGTAGGAAATAGCACCCTCCTCATGGAGCCGTGGTGGGGGACTTCTTCTCAGCTATAGAGCAATGCAGGGCTCTTGTGATCCAGAAAATTCACACACACACACACAAAAAACAAAACCAACCTCTGTGCAATGCCCAAGGTGGCACAGTACAGCACCGGCACACAGTTTTAGTTCTCAGTGGCCTGCATGGTGTGGGTATTTGGGTTCCTGCCCAGCTTCTGGGGCATGTGAGCTGGCCTGTCCATTTGTGAGTCTCCCATGTTGAGTAGGGTAGAAGATTTGACTTTCAACAGATCCCAAAACTTGGGGAGACCAGGCCTCCCCTAGCCCTACACCCTGGGAGGTTTAGCCCCTCCCACCTGGCAGTCTGTCTTGTGCGGGTAGAACTCACTGGCCTCGGAGAGAGGAAAAAGATGATTCTCACCATCAGTGATTCACCTGCCGAGGACCCAAGAACTCGTTTATTTTGCAGTCAAGCTCCTTGCTGCACTGCCAAGCGCTAAGACTCCGAGGTGAGGAGTCTGGAAGCTTGGGGAGTACCATCAGGGGCTCATCTGGAAGTGTACGCACACACCAAAGGCCAGAGGCATTAGCATAGCACGGTCGTTTCCATATACACAGGAGAGTGGAATACAGATGTGGAATCATGTTTAGGACACCTTTGAATTGTGGCGCTGAGTCTTGCTTCCTTGGGTGGGTAACTGGACTAGAGGGAATCTGCCAAAGGAGTCGTAAGATGTGGAAGAGGCTTGCAGATTCTGGAGTCAGCGTGACCCTGGCTCACAGCCCAGAGTGGTCTGGGGAGTTTGGCCAAGTGGCATGGTCCACTTGTGTGTCAGTGTCTTGCCTCCAAAAGTCAAAGAGATGTGGCAGCTGCCAAACTGCGAGAGACTCATCCGTGGACACCAGCGCTGCACTCCCACGAACCTGTCCAGGTGAGGGCTTCTCCGTCTGCAAGCTGGACAGATGGAAATCCTTGCTCTTCAGGAGACCAAGTGCCAGGGAGGAAGAAAGGCCATACACAAGTAAGCAGCAAATACGAAGCGAGGCAGCAGTAGCTGCCAGGAGAAGCTAAGAAGCAAGGTGTGGGACAGCAGGAGAGGGGAAGCACCCGACAAGTCCAGCAGACTGGGCAGCGCGGAGTGGGGGAGGCGCCTGGGCACAGAGGCTCCGGCAGGGGGACGGCTGGCCACGCATAACAAAGGCTGGCATCATCTGTGTGCAGGTACAATGAAGGCTGGAGGAGGGGGGAGAAAGGCCAGGAAATGGAACCATGGCCCAGGGCGCCGTCACGAGTACTTTAGGCTTAACTGGAGCAGCCTCCACAGGATTTTAAGCAGGAGAGTGGCAGACTTTGATTCACCTCTAGCTGCTCTGTCAAGAATGGGCTGTGGGTTGGAAGAGAAAAAGCGGGAAAAAGGGAGGAGGCAGCTTCTGTACTGCAGGCCAGGCTGTGGAGTGGCACGGGAAATGAAAAGCAGGCAGGGACTGGAGCAGGATCCGCTTTGAAGGTAAACCTGCGGGCCTTGCTGAGGTTAGGCGGGGCTGTGGCAGACAGAGAGTCAAGCGTAACCCCAAGAATGTCACTCTTACCACACGGGTAGATAATGGTGCCATGTGGATTGGGGAGAATGA